GCATCTAGTGGCACTTTGATAACCGCATTTCGATACGAGTTTCACTCCTCTTAATAGTACGGCTATCAAATCTAAATGTGATCACACTCTTTAAGTGTCTTGATCACCAAAACAAAATAGCTCCTACAATATATCTTTACCTTGAGCCTTTTGTTTTTCTCTTTCTTCTTTTCAAGTCCAAACACTTGATCATCACCATGTCATCACCATTGTCATGTCATGATCTTCATTTGCTTTTCCACTTGGAATGTGCTACCTATCTCATGATCACTTGATAACTAGGTTAGCACTTAGGGTTTTATCAATTTACCAAAATCAAACTAGAGCTTTGTGCAGCGCGGTCTGGTACCTCACCTAGATCGTAGTCTAGGTTGATCCTAATGGATCCCATGATTGTCATAGTCAAAATGTAGTCCCTTTGAGATAACTGTCGAGCTAGAAATGACCTCTCTTGTATTTCAAACTTCTATCTTATTAATACAATGATACACAATGCTCTTACGTGTTCGAGAAAAAATAAACAAATTTACCAGCAATAGGTTCACCACCAAGCAAATCATCAACTGGAAAAAAAAACTATGCACCCTCCTACTATCTGCAAGCTACTGATGCATTGGTACTTTAAAAAAATCATATTAGCATTGTGAAGAAACTAAGAAAAAATTATCACGACTCATAGAATACACTCCTATATACTATTAGTGGTGAAACATCAATATATATCGTTGCAAGAGCAACTTCAGGTGTTTTCTATATTTAACTCATTAAATAAATAAGTTTAGCGAGTTAATACAATAAGAAGCAACCCCAATTTATTTCCCCTTCAATATCTACTAGCCACTTGTGCCCGCGCTTCGCCACGGGTGATGTACTTACGGCATATTTTGTTCGAGTTTCTTTTTTATTTATACGAACAAATTTGTCATGTCTGTACTTCGCTGCGGGTGACTTACAACATATTTTATTCAATTAGTTTTTTTTGCTACGAACAAATTTGTCCTTACCATCATTGTATGGGTAAAAAATTATCTATATCTAGGTGCAATAGACACTTCGGTCTATTGCAATTGCTGGGTGCAAGAATCTCATTAATACCGACAGTCTCAACTACTCCCTCTATATTAAAAAATAAAGTCGTTTTGGACAGCGATACGGTCTCCAAAGTATTACTTTGACTCCTTATTTTTATAAAAATATTTATTAAAAAGTGATATATGTATATTTTTATGAAATTATTTTTTAAGACAAATATATTTATATAGCTTTTGCATTTCTAAACTCAACAATTTAAAAGTTATTCATGATTTATATTCCCAGATCCGAGCCTTATCTGATTTTATTTTTGAGTACCGACGAGGGAGTTACTCACCTCGCTGCAATAATGAGCATCTGTTTCAAGCAGGCATGCATGCATGCACATGCACATGCACATGCGACTGCATGCATATGCACACTCTCACTCAAGTATGCATGCATGCCTTTAATCACTGCAGCCATACAAATGAGGTTTGGTTAATTAAGTTAACCAGGCGTACAACAACCCAAAACATCATGTATTAACGCAAAGAACGAAATCAATAACATGCCTTATACAAGGAGCAAGTAAGATTAATCTGCTAAAGAGACTTCGTTGGCATTGAATCAACTAATCCAAATTCCTAATGCACTGGTTAGACTAAGGTACAGTAATTACCTTTCAAAAAAGGCAGAGTGATGACGCTAAAAAATGGTAGAGTAACTACACCGTACACTAAAAAAGGTAGAGTATCTATACTAATGGACCAGTCACCCATACACATTACCGTAACTATCCCAACAAATAGTGAGAGCTAGAGTTAACTTAATTGGGCACACATGGTTTAACACATACGGAGTATTACTTATTATCATGTATGTTCGATGCAACCATCAAAATTACTACTCAAATGACACAGCCACACATGAGATATTACTCGAAAGACAGAGACATGAGCGTGTGGGAATTAAATGTATGTGCTAATGCTGTAATGCATGCATGCGTGTGTGCCTGTTTCAAGTTTGCATGCGTCCAATAGAGGTATAATGTCAATGCTTTCTTGGTTGGTAGAATAAATGCCTTGGGTAGAATAAATGGTGGGCCCCTTGAAGCGATAGAGCATGCTTGCCAGACTCTTGAGGTGGACGATATGCATGGCGCTAAGCTAGAGGAGCTGTCATCTGGACCGCTAGAAATAAATCATATATGAAGGAGACAATAGAGGCTACGTGGACACTCTCTAAGGCCGCCTTGATAGCGTGCCTTCATATTTTTAATAAACGAGAAGAGCATGTACTGCAGGCCATCTACCGCCACCGTCCACCACTTTGGTGTAAGCAGGTGGACAAACATTTAATGCTTGTTGCCCTGTACAAATAGAAATTTACTATCAGTAAGTTCAAAAAAATAAAAATGTATTATTAGTAAGTAAAAACAGGTCGTGACTTTTAGGATCATAGTATTACCACACATCTCTCCAGCTAAATTTATGAGAGACTTATATTCTGTAACTAAACTAACGGTACTTTTATGTGGTGAGCAGGCTACTGTTTACTTAGTCATGCCATTGAAACACCATCGAAAACATAATCTAAGAGCAACTACAATGTTGCAGAAAAGTAGTCCATAGGCATTAGAATAGTCTACCAGCTAGCTGAAACATTGTAGACTTTGTATGTATCAGTATGTCTTTGATTACATGACACACGGCAGGTAAGTTAATGCACTTATAGAATGTCCCTAGGTACACGTGAATTTTTGAGAGTACTGCCACCGGTGTGCTAGTCCTTGTCGCCATAGGCAAGTGTGCTTGCCCAGAATTATGCTAATGATGCTTAGGCTTCAAGTGTTCTGTGGCCAAGTTGCTTGTTAACACGGTAATAGAGTTTGATTAGGAGACGCTCCTCATTCAATATGGAATACATGTCATCACAAACGCGCACCACATGTATATATCTGAAGGTGGCAAACAAGGGCGGGTACATATGCGAGCTTACACATAGCCAATGTACACACAAACTACTATAGGGATGAACTACAATGAGGGCTTCTCCAGTGGGGATAGAAAAGCGACTCATCATCCAATGTGGTGGCCAGAAAAATCGATTGACTAGACTATACGACTCACGCAGAAGAGAGAGAAAAATTGATTCACGTTTTAGGGTTGACTCCTCCCGAATAAACAAAGAATTCGACCCACTTGTAAGAGCCAAGAGCAGAGATAGAGCGGCAGCGCCGGAGCCGAGTAGAGCAGGGGCGAGCGACTCAGGCGGCGGTGGTAGGCGACGAGTCAAACGGCGGTGGCGGCGGCAGCCAATGAGTTGAACGGCGGTGGCTGCAGTTTGCATCATCTCCACACAGAGGGAGCCCGGCCATCCTGCGCGGCGGCGGCTGTCGTTTTGTACGTCGGCCCTGGCAGCGACAACGTACGTGAACTACAACAACGGGTGAGCAGTTGAGATGCGTCGGCTTGGACGAACCTCCGTCTGAACCAGGCATGCGGCGACACTTCAGCATTCAAAACCGCCGGAGGTGGAAGAAAGCAGTACGATGGAAGAAACAAAGGTCACGTTGTTTATCGTTTTATAATTTGCCGTGGGGCTTGTGGTACTGTTTGGCCAGGAGTCGATTCATGGGCTTAGTTGACGTGGCTGCCTTTATCTGAGATGGATCGACTCACCACTGCGGGTGCCCCTGAGGCCATAACTATTGATTCCTCGTATATGAACTACAAGGAGGACACACTAGGAGGGCTGGGAGGGGTGCGATGAAGCAATGGATGGCACATGCTTATGTAAGCAAGAGTTGGAGGAGGAACGGGTGCCTCTGCATGCATGGGTGCAGATGCAAGTATGGTAGCCGTATTAATGGTGACCAACCCCAACCACCGACCACCTCGGTAGCAACGTGCACACAACCCAAGCCGTCTCTTAGATGCATGGATGCATGTGTAAGTACAAATGTTCCTACATGGTTGGTAAATTATTTTTATCTGATGGTAAGGAGGAGAGGCATTAAATGTGTCCACTTGCCCGACTTGTTTTTATCTGATGGTAGCATGGAGGGGAGGCACTAAATGTGTCCACCTGCTTTTGACCCACCCTGCCAGTGGCGGATGTGGGATGCGGGATAAGGGGGGGCTAAAACAACAGAGATGTTGATTTGCACGAAGATTTAACGGTGAAATCATGTTTTTGCTACAGTAATTAGCATTGAAATCAAGAAATTAGGGGGGGCTGGAGCCCCCCCAGCCCCCCCTTTGGATCCGCCACTGCACCCTGCGTAGGTGAAGATATCGAGTGCTTTCAAATTTACTGAGTGAATTTTTGGATACCTTAGGGAGGCACTCGTGCATGCATGGAAATTTACTACCTAGTATCTATTGATAGTAAATTCATTAATATAAAGGGAGAAGCCACATGTGATGTAATTCCTCCTGTCATGGTAACTTTTTTATGTAAATGACACGTGAAAGCACAGTGATGTAAATCCCCCTACCATAGTAACTTTTTGCATGCAAAGTACACCTATAGTTTATATTATCCTTGCATGCATGGTCATTCAATTTTTCATCTACTTCATTGAATGCGTCCACTTGCTTCATCTATCCACTGCCGAATGCATGGAGGAAGGCTGGTTGTGACGCGCTTCATCTAAGTCGTGGAATTTCTATCTAACACACCAACTAAATAGAACATATGTGGACACCCTAGGAGGCTGCCTAGACAGCGTGCCTTCATATCTCTAATATCAGCTTTCTATAAACGACTTTGTATTAGGAACACCGAATTATTTCTTACCTTTATGGGGAAAAAATTAGGGTCTATCTACAATCTGTTGACAGATTCTTACACAAAAAATTTATCAAGTTTTTTGACAAATCAACAGCTGACACATCAGCCAAGAAAAATGATAGATTTTTGTATTACAAATCTGTCAGATTTGCACAACACGGTTACACAGTAGACAAAAGATCCAAAACCCGTTAGATTTCAACAAATGCCGCATAATTCAAACAGAGATCCCCTTTCAGACCAATCTGTCTTCTTGGCATTTCAAGCATGTACACATGAACCCGTAATCTGCAAGCTACACCTACCTCTCCTCGTATGGTGGGCTTCATCGATGTAGGAGATGGTAATCTGGAATGGTCATTGTCAGATTGGTAGGATAGCATGTCTACAGAATATAGCATAAAACCACCAGAAAGTTTTAACTTAATAAGAACACTACAGAGTTCAGCAAACATTTCACAAGCTACATCAAGCTGTATAACCTGGAGGCAATTCTCACATGTACAGAAATGGCACAATACCTGCATTTATATCGTTCATCGCTTTGAGAACAGCAGCGTCAGGGATGATATCAACCATGAGAATGTGCTCAATGTTGTAACCATAATCTGCCATCACCTCGACAGCAACAAGTGTTTATTGAATTTGCCAGGACAGACATAGAACAGCCATATGTGGTAGGGCATACAAGAAAAGGTAGAATATTGGAATACTCTCTCAAGAGATGACATAACCTCAGACTACTAGACATTGCCAATAATACAGAGGAAACAATGTGCTGAAGACAAAACTAAACAATAGCAATAGAATCAGACATAGGCTAAATATCAACCAGACAAGATTTTGATTTCAGCAAAAACAAATATGGTGTCAAAACACATAAGCATGTTGGTTGTCTATGGACCGTTACAATACTTGTCACACGACCAAGTTCATCAAATAGTTATGAAACTCCTTTTAATACACATGCTAAAGCCAATACTGGAAATAAAGAGGTCCACAGGCAACAAAACAACATGTAGGGATACACATAGGGCAAACCAGAAAGAACTGCAGTAATCACTAAACAGATTGCTAATCAAAAGCAGAGTATATGCAGAATGGTTAACTCGTTAAAATTATCACCACGGCAATGGCCATAAGTGTCATTATAGTTGCAAGCAGAATCATTCATTTGTAGCCAATCCCCTACCAGTATTTAAAACAGGCCTCTAAATTACCTTTTCAAGCTCCTGCAGTACAGCTTTGGCCCACATCATTCTTCTGCTCAAAGAGATCATCCAGATTCATTCTTGGTACAATGGCTCGAACAACTATTTTTCATAAAAGTACAAGTGTCAGGTTATATTTGAGAGAAACTGTACAAAACCAACAAAGCTCGATGCTAATAATTCACCATCAAAGACGTAGGCCTGAATTTGCTGTTGGGGATTCTGCAACTCATAGAATGCATCATCTGCATTTTCCTTGACAACGCGGTATTGAATTGTGCAGATCAGTTGGACAAAGACGTTATCCTGCAAAGGAAAAAGGATGCCACCAATTGTTTCAACATGAAAACAAGCAACAAGTACCATAGGCAAAGAATATTTCACTTCATTGCAAAGCAACTAGAGACAGATTCAGACCATCAACCCCTCAAAACCAATCACCCCATGAACCTACAACTTAAACTAACCTGGCATTTGACTTTACCACCAGATTTAATAGCACCAAACTTGCTGAACTCCTGTTCAACCATTTCAAATAGTTGCTTCAAAAGGAAAGTTCTTAACAAAAATTGAGTACCCTTGGTTTTGCAAAACAAGGTGTTACAATTCAGAATAAACCTCATTCTTTTCTTTGGTCCATTCAGATATGATCACAAATAGGTATCCTCCAAAATACGCCTTGTATGCCCGTAATAAGACTAACTAGTATGCTGGAAGAAAATCTTGAGTGCAATTTCGACCTACTTACTGATGGCAATGGTCAGATCATCCCTCACTTCATGAGGATTCTCAGTGGCTTATTCATGAACTTGCGGGTAATCTCAAGGGCCTCAGGAGGCATGGTAGCAGAGAAAAGACTCCAACCTGAATCTTGGCTGGGGAAGCTGGAAGATATCGTACATCTGCATTTCACCAAAGCATAAATCAATCAGACGAAGGCACAAACACACAAACACATGCACCCACACACACAGACACACTCACACTCTCACCAAATACAGCACCCACCTATCCACACACCCAAACACACAGACACACACACAAACAGAGGGAGAGAAAGAAAGATAGGCACACATACAAAGACACACAGAGAGAGAGAGAGAGACACACACACACACACAAAGACACACACACAGAAAGAGAGGGACACACACCAGCAGCACTGCATTTGCTGCTACTGCTGATCAATAGCAGCTCAATCAACAGCAACAACTAAAATACAACGCAGAAGAAAAAAATAGCTTTGGGACCCTCAAAAGAAGAAGAAAAATACCACACACACACCAGTAGCTGTCAAAGACACTGCACCCACAAACACAGACACACACCCACACCAAAAAAAAAGCAAAACACACACACACACAGAGGGACACACAGACATAGAGATAGAGAGAGAGAGAGACACATACACAGAGAGAGACACAAAGATAGAGAGAGACACGCACGCATGCACACACAAAAAACACAGACAGAGACACACACAGACACAGATATATATAGAGAGAAAGACTCAAAAAGAAGGCAAATGACAAAAAAAAGACAAAAACATAACACAACTCTAAAAAATACAGCTAATGCCAAAAGAAAAAGAAAAAAGGAAAATAAAATAAAAAGGTAAAAAAAACATAGCAAAAACAAACATACCCACAAAAAACCGACACACACAGACACACACACACACAAACAGAGGGAGAGAGAGACACGCAAAAAGACACATGCACCCACACAAACAAAGAACACACAGACAGACACACTTAGAAGGCAAAGGACAAAAAAGAACCACAGCTAAAAAAACCACCTTCTAAGACACACATGCACCCAAACACACAAAAGAACCCACACACACAGACAAACTCAATATGCCTACAACAACAATCTGTGCTTGATGTTCCATGTAATGGTGTGACAATGACTACAGGATGAATTTGCAGGTCCAAGCAATTCAGGGAGCAAAATAGTCACTCTTGATTATTTAGGAACAATTCTGTACCCCTAAAAACATCAGAACTATTAGCTGCATAGAGATGAAGCAAAACCTTTGAGTAGATAAACATGTCAAATCATCTCAAGTCCCATAAAATATGCTATTAATAATAATACCATATAACTTCATATGTACTGAGCAAGAAAAATATACTGAATCAACATACTAGGAACAATTGATTCGACATACTTGTGCTGAAGAAGCATATTGCCCAGAAAGAAAAATATACATGCAAGTAGTTGAAATTTTTTCACATAGACAATATCACAAGAATGAGACCACATATAGACAATATCACTAGAATGAGACGTGAAGAAAGTAGACAGTGACCCAGTATGAGAAGCAATGTCCTAAGAAAGTAGAAGGAACAAATAGAAAGACACAACAAAGAGGAGTAGATCTTAAGGACGTGCAAACAATGGAGGAGAAATTGTTCAATGAGAAATAGATAAGCAAAAATAAGTGCGGCAATACAAAAAATCGTGATAGGCCCATGAAAGTGAGCAAAAGAGAAGAAGTGTAGAAATTAGAAAAGTCCTAGTCACGAATGGAACAACCAGAGCGACAAGCAAATTCCCAATTAACTAATGAAACATCGTTACACACCGCACCCAATGATTTGTTTGCTCCAATTTAAACTACTAAACTGCTATCTCCGCTGGCCTGCACAGATCCCACCGCAACTTGGACATCGCCGGAAGCTCAAATCTTAGAAACATAATCCCAAACCGTTGCCAAGCAACCCAACAGCTCGTATGAGAGCTACAGCACAATAGGCCGAAATAGAGCTCCGGAGAACCTAAGAACAGTTCAATGAATTGTTCGGCAACCCCTCCATAAAGTCTAGAATCAATAAACAAACATACTATAGCCAGTATGGGCAAACCTGATCAGAGTTATTTATTTAAAAAAAGTAACAAAAATGATGTAGTGTCAGGAATCAATTCAGCAAGATCATTTTTTGTGGGTGATTTCTTGTCATCTAAAATTGGAAGTAGCTAAGCCAGTAAGTTTTCATGTTTCCCTGATTCAGCACATCATAAAGTGAACTTAATTGCATTAGCTCCAGGTCTCACTATTTCAGAGCATATCGAATTTAAGTGCAAACACTGCAATGCTCACACATCAGTACATTACTGACTTAGGAGTATCTGCTTACAGAGTGTACATCCAAATTCCCAGTACAACCAATTGGAGTTCCAGAGAAGAAAAATTCCTCAGAACAAGAAAGCAACCAAATCGCCCAAACCCGAGGTCATCACACAGAGTTCCTCGCCAGGCGCCGGCTACCGAAAAACCAACACAAAATAGAACATCTCGAGCTAGATCTACTGCGCATCCACCACGACCGTGACCATCACCGCGCACAGAAACCAGTAGTACCTCAAACAAAAAACAAAATCGAAAAAAAAAACCATGCGAAGGCACAAGGGGGAGCGGCGGGCGAAGACAGCAACTCACCAACAGTTCGCCACAGCTCGGTGGAACGGCCGCCTAAGTCCGACCACCGCTCGCCGGCGCCACAACTCGGTGGAACGGCCGCCGAAGTCCAACCACCGCTCGCCCGGCGCCCGCCCCACAATGGCCCTGCCTCAGTCAGCAGCAAAGCAATGAATAGCTCTAGCGATTGGCGGCAGTAAGCCAATGAAGAGACATAAAGAGCGGAGCGAAAAGGTGTGTGGCAAGACAAGTGAAAGCGGCGGCGAGGGGCCTTGCGCCCACTGCTGCCAAGGCGTGCGATGCAAAAAAAAAAAACGACGGGAGAGGATCAGGGAAAAACGCGGTGGGAGATGAAAAGATAAGGGTGGGTGCGGGTTTGCGGGTTTCAAAGGCGGACCCGTTAGTGAACCCAAATAGCCGCACGAATCTCAAAGCAAAATCAACAGCCTAGAATTTGACAGATAAATAACAACAAAATCTATTGACAGATATATAGCATAAATAAAAAAAATTTACCAACCAAAGTCTTTTTACTAGTTTCTTTGTCTCTCACTTTATTTTATTAATTTACCCGTGCGTCCAATTAACTCATATCTCCCGAGAAATAGTTCATCTCGACGGCAGAACTTACAAGTTCCATTTTTTTTAAAAAAAATCGTAATAGGAGCGCTTAGAGAATCTGTACTTGCAACAACAAATTACGAGGCCATGTACCGCGTACAGGACTACCGGTGTACACGTACTGCCAAACACCATCCTTCGTTTGCGGCTGCGGCCTGCGGGTCATGTCAGACAAGCACCACCTCCCTCGCACGTGCCACGACATACGAGGTCAAACTAGGACCAAAGTAACCGACACCATCCGAGCAATTAAACGTTTAACCAGGGACCTAAGCGTCAATAAACTATTTATCGATAAAAACCCCAGAAGATCCACCCGTCACCCGAAGCTTCCTCCTCGCAGCGCGCCGCGCGTCGTCGTCTCTACCCACCCGCCCGACCTCGCGCGCCACGCCCGCCGAGCCTGCGAGCCATCACCCCACCCACCGCCTCGCCGCGCAGATCTCGGGAGTTTTACCCTCCCACCGGGCGGTGATTCTCCCGCCCCATCACCGATGCGGACGCCGGCGATGCTCCGGTGGGCCGCGGCGCTCGCGGTCCTGCTCGCCGTCGCCGCGCCGGCCGCCGGGTTCTACCTCCCTGGCGTCGCCCCGAACGATTTCGCGAAGGTTTGTTGGGTCCCTGCGGTTTCCCTCCCCTCGTTGGTGCACCTTGGAGTGATTGTGTAACTGTGTTCGTGTTCGGAGCTGGATCTAGTCAACGGGGTTGCCGGTACAGGGGCTGGTATCCGCAGATCCAGCTCGAGGGTTTCGTGTGTGGTGTGCAGCGCCCCCGATTCGTTCATCCGGTTCAGTTAGCATGGTTCCATAGCTGGGCTTGGGATTCACATATTGCACCTCAATTCGCACACTTTAACAGCCTTCCTATCGTTGTTTGCTGTTGTGATCTTTGTCCTCATCTGAAAAATAGCCGCTAGACTTTGATGTGATCAGAATTGTGCCCTGCGTGGAAAAGTCAACACATGCCATTTTGTATTTGTACTTGCACACCATATAAGATAACTTGAATCTGTCTTCCAGATGATGGTCCTTGATCCGAAGGTTAAGTAGAAGCTTAGACTTTGGTAGATTCTGCCTCAGCTCCCGTTTGGTGGAGCTCCTGCTTCTCCGTGTTTTATCTCTCTTCTCAAAATGGCGTAGCAAGGCAGCTTAGGCAGGTGCTGGAGCTGTGCCAGGGCCTACACCATAGTTTAAATTGGTATCAACTCCTAAATCCTAAATGAGGTGCTAGATCATGTAATAAGGTATCTTGTAGAGGATCACTCATGGCAAAGGAATGGCAGTCACTGTGTTATAATCTCCTATAACAAAGTAGTGTCATTTCGTGATTACTGATATGATAGCATTTTATTCACTCTTCTAATTTGTCCACAGGGTGATCCGCTTCCAGTGAAGGTGAATAAGTTGACATCTATCAAGACTCAACTCCCGTACACATATTACTCCCTTCCATTCTGCAAGCCAGATACCATAATCGACAGCACCGAAAATCTTGGTGAGGTTCTTCGTGGTGATCGCATTGAGAACTCTCCTTATGTGGTTAGTACCTTATATGACATAACAGAATAATTGAGGTTTTGTCCTCGGGTATGTGCATCGCGTAAAATGTTTCGTTCTGCTTGTTATTTGGGGTATAGTTCAAAATGGGAGAGCCCAAGATGTGTCAGATTGTCTGCAAAGCAAAGATCGGTGAGAAAGAAGCCAAGGAGCTCAAGGAAAAGATAGAGGATGAATACCGAGTGAACATGTAAGGACTATGAACCTATGTGGGTAGTGTTGTACTTCAGTTGACACAGTAATTTCCTATACCTTATATAAATTGCATCACAGGATTCTAGACAACCTCCCGCTAGTTGTTCCGGTTACAAGGCAAGATAAGAACAGTATTGCTTATCAAGGTGGATATCATGTTGGTCTCAAAGGCCTGTATTCTGGAGTAAGTCTTTATGCTCTGTTAATGTTTACTTTTTCTTTATGCATGCAATCTTTAATTCTTTGTTGGAATCCTTTATCTATTTGTCTGGACTAATAAATTCTCATACACAAATGCTTTTTTTCAGACTAAGGATGAGAAATACTTCATCCACAACCATTTGTTATTTACGGTGAAGTATCACAGGGATGATAATTCGGGACTTTCTAGAATAGTGGGATTTGAGGTCAACCCACACAGGTTTACTTCTAACTTTGTTTGGCGGGATTTTATTCTTCTTGTTCTTTATGAAATGGACCTAAGGTATTTTGGTACATATTTTGCCAGTATCAAGCATCAGGTTGACGATAAATGGAATGGTGTAGACACTCGCTTGAGCACTTGTGATCCTCATGCGAGCAAATTTGTAACAAACTCTGATAATCCTCAGGAAGTTGAAACTGACAAGGAAATCATATTCACATATGATGTTCGTTTTGAGGTACGAGACTAGGGTTACGAATTGCTTAGTTTAGCTGCTGTAGCGTACTCTTTGAATGTTTATTTGTGATGATTTTAATGGAACCTCCACTAATTTTGCAGGAGAGTGAGATCAAGTGGGCGTCGCGTTGGGACACCTACCTGTTGATGACTGATGATCAGATTCACTGGTTTTCTATCGTGAACTCTCTCATGATCGTGCTTTTCCTATCTGGCATGGTTGCCATGATAATGCTTCGCACTCTCTACAGAGATATCTCTAGATACAATCAGCTTGAAACTCAAGAAGAAGCACAAGAGGAAACAGGTTGGAAGCTTGTTCATGGGGACGTGTTCCGTCCTCCAACCTACTCTGACTTACTCTGTGTTTATGTTGGCACTGGCGTCCAATTCTTTGGCATGCTCCTAGTTACAATGATCTTCGCTGTGTTGGGTTTCCTTTCTCCATCAAACCGGGGAGGACTGATGACTGCAATGCTTCTAGTCTGGGTTTTGATGGGGCTGCTTGCTGGCTATTCTTCGTCACGCCTCTACAAGATGTTCAAAGGTTCAGAGTGGAAGAAGATTACCCTGAAAACGGCTTTCCTGTTTCCAGGGGTTGCATTTGTTATTTTCTTCATCTTGAATGCTCTTATATGGGGGGAGAAGTCATCTGGTGCTGTTCCTTTCACCACAATGTTTGCCTTGGTCCTCCTCTGGTTTGGCATCTCAGTACCCCTTGTCTTTGTTGGGAGCTATCTTGGGTTCAAGAAACCTGCCATGGAAGCTCCAGTCAAGACAAACAAGATTCCACGGCAGATCCCTGAGCAGGCTTGGTACATGAATCCGCTTTTCACTATTCTGATTGGTGGGGTCCTTCCATTTGGAGCAGTTTTCATTGAACTCTTCTTCATCCTCACCTCCATCTGGCTGCACCAGTTCTATTACATCTTTGGCTTCCTCTTCCTTGTGTTTGTGATCCTCATCATCACCTGTGCCGAGATCACAATCGTGCTCTGCTATTTCCAGCTCTGCAGTGAGGACTACATGTGGTGGTGGAGGTCTTACCTTACCTCGGGATCCTCTGCGCTGTATCTCTTCCTGTATGCTGCTTTCTACTTCTTCACGAAACTGCAGATTACTAAGCTGGTGTCTGGCATATTGTACTTCGGCTACATGCTTCTCGCCTCCTATGCCTTCTTTGTGCTGACTGGCACAATTGGTTTCTGCGCCTGCTTCTGGTTCACTAGGTTGATTTACTCGTCAGTGAAGATCGATTAGGTGCCATATGACAGAATAGCACATGTTTCAGTGATGGAGGCAAGAGAATTGTATGATTAATGTGGATTGGGGAATTACCCCCCCTTTTTAAGGTTTTCAGGAAAAAGTTACTTCTTAGGATTTAGTTTATGAATGATTTTATGTTTTGTTGTTGTCAGATTATACACTTTAGTGATTTGGAACTGAGAAAAAAATATAAGGGTAAACACACTGTGATGAGGCTGTACCTTTTGACAATTTTTTTTTGTGGGCCTCTATATAAATTTAATTCATTATGACCGGTATGTTTGTACTGGAGAATTACTGTAAGGCTCCAGGACCAGTATGAATTAGCCTGATGGCAGTTGGCAAGAATGTAACCTCAGTTCCTAAGAAATCAGAGTTGGTGCTTCAACTTGCAATCTCTGTTCCAGCAATGTTCATTTGTTGTGCTGTAATCGGATGTTGACATTTTATAAGCTCAGTGTTATCATTAAGTCACTACGCTGCCTTCCATTCAAAAGCCTGCTTGAGGTATCAGTAATTGATTACGAAACTGCCCTGTATGCTTCCATCGTGAGTAGAGTGAGAAGTGAAAAACTACGTGATGAATTAGTACTTTGAGGTGTATGGATTGTTTGAATCATCACGTCCCTGAACAATAAATTAGTTCTAACCATTGCTACATTCTAAAGTGATTATTCAGGACTCATAGGTTGTCTTGCATATTATTAGTTAATTTATTAACTACGTCGATCTTTTACTTTAGCAGGTGTACTGTATTCATTAACTACACCCATTCTCTCTCCTGGACGTTGTTATCTTCTTATCTGCTCTCTCTCTCTATCCAAGGCGGGAAGAGCGCATGCGGCCGTGATAAGCGCCAGCGAGATTTCCATTGGTTCTGACCGGATGCTTTTTTTTCCTGTGAAATGCACGTAGCTCGTTTTCTCGTCCTGGTCGTTTGTGCTTGTTTGGCTTATAAGTCATGGCTGAAAGTACTGTTGGCTGATTTGGTGTTAGAGAAAAATATTGTTCGTTGGCTGATAAACCATGGCTTATAAGCTGAATACGACCAAACGAACAGGCTGCCTTTCCTCCGGAACGGAAATCTCCTTTCCCTTGTTCCAAACGCACCCACGTACTTCCTTTTCTTAGGAACAACACCCTCCAAAAATCCTGCAAAAATCCTACGATCTAAACAGGCCCTCAAGAGAGATGAAATTAATTGCTTGTTTGGCACAAACATGGCTTCTCCTCTAGTGGTCCTCTTAGGCGGTCTCCAACAGGAGACGTGTTGCGGAACCCAAATCCAAAATAGGTCTCTAACACAATACCTATAGCCTATAACAAAGTACGTACATGAAAGACCCATTTGAGGTGTCAGGAGAGGCATAACCTAAATCTGAGTATTCTCTCTCCTGAAGATCCATTTGCGAAAATGGTTGTCTTTTGGGTCTTATTGTTGGAGAAGATCAAAAATAGGTATTGAAATATTTGCCTGTAGCAATATCAAAAGACGAATGTATCTTGTATTTTGGGTGGTGGTCGTTCGAGACAGTCCTAGAATGTTCGGTACTTCAGTGTTTGGTCCAGCTCCTCCTAAAATGTTTAGAAGCTGCTACCAGGGCTATGCTAAACTGGCCAACCATGGTATGGAGAAGAGTATCTGCGGAGTTGCTTCTTTCTCGGGTTCGGCAGATGCCATGCTTGCTGCATAGTGCATTCCTCTTCGCGGCGATTTCCAGCTGCGACCTGTGACTGTGAGAGTGAATGGCGCACCGGCTCTGTCTCTGACTTCGCTGGGGCCTGGCCAGGGAGCCACAGCCAGTCATGGGCTCATGGCGCGTACAAGGGACTCCATTCCGGCCAAATCTGCTGAAATCCCGAATCCGTGGTATCCCAACAAAAAGTGGGTCACACACTCGGCAGCAAAACCATACTCCTCGTCTCCTCGAGCCTGACACTAGCGATATTTTGGTGCTGCTGCTCGGCTCCTGTCTCCTCTTCCTTTCCTCCGCCGGTCCGGCCACGGATAGCACTTCCACTAGCTCTCTCTGCCTGCTCTAGTCCTCTTGGCTCTTCTGCTCACACAACCACGGCCGTCTCCCTGTCGTGGAGCTCGCCCGCAGCCGCAATGTCGTGGCTCCTAGTCGTCGCGGTGCTTGCGGGCTTCGCGCTTGGTCCCTCCGCCGGCACGGACCACATCGTTGGCGCCAACCATGGGTGGAACCCCAACATCAACTACTCCCTCTGGTCCGGCAACCAGACCTTCTACGTCGGCGACCTCATCTGTAAGCCCCCTCAAACAAGCAGCTCTTCGCCCTGCTGGCTGCCTGCCCCCTGCCGCATTAGATCCATTCCATAGTGAGCAGAGCTGCTGAGCTCCATTTGGAGCCCTGAATGCTGCTAACGCCGCCGCAATGTTGCTGTGCAGCGTTCAGGTACCAGAAGGGGACGCACAACGTGTTCGAGGTGAACGAGACGGGGTACGACAACTGCACCATGGCCGGGGTCGCCGGCAACTGGACCTCCGGCAAGGACTTCATCCCGCTCCCCGAGGCCCGCCGCTATTACTTCATCTGCGGCAACGGCTTCTGCCTGCAAGGCATGAAGGTCGCCATCACCGTCCACCCGCTCCCGCACAACGCCACCTCCAAGGGCTCCAACAGCCGTGGGAGCACCGGCGCACAGGAAGAAGAGGCCGCGGCGGCGGCGCTTGGGACCAGGAGCGCCGCGTGGCTGGCGACGCTCGCAGTCGCCGCAGCTGCAGTGGTGGCTTTCCGCTAGGAGCTTTATTCCAAGCATTCTCTGAGCATTCTTCTATTTTGTGTTCCCCTTTGTGTTTTGCTTTTGCCCCCATTTCATTTGTGTTTTAAACTTCTCTGCAAGCAAAGCTGCTTGTCATGAGTAATGCTAATCTAAGAATTTAGTACTAGATAGAGAACTACAGATTCAGACAATCTGATGCCACCGCCAAGCAATTTTGAGAAGCTAAGCTATCCTTCTGACAACTCATCAATGCATTTCACAAAACCCAGTTTAAGAACCAACATGCCATGTATTACAGGTTGCGACGGCTCTGAACACTAGAAAGAAGGAAGGAACAAACCCTATAAGAGATTGTCGAATAGAATCCCTTTTCTTATATACACCACTCACTATCCTTGTTGTCTATCATCCACCGGTTAGAGCTCCACAGCACGGTGTGCCACTTAACGCCTACTTCGGGGGGTAGTCTGGGCCATCGAGCTCGCTGTTCACAAAGGCAAGGGCTCAAATTCTGAAAGAGGAACTTGGTATTTTACAACGCTGAGATTTCAAACACTGATAGTGTAGTAGCTTCAGTCCAAGGAAAGCTTACTTGGGCCGCATCTCTTCTGCAGTGGCAGCAGACTGCTCGGTGCTAGAAGTAGCGACAGCTGAAGCTGGTTTCTTGAACTGAACCACGATAACGGTCATGTTATCACATCCCTCGCCACCAGATGTAGGTGCCACACAGTGGTTGAGCAACTTCTCACACACGCTGGATAGCTTATCCTCCTGTTAAGTTATTAGGGCGGATGAGTGAACGGATTTGAAGGATAAAAGTATCAAACACAGCAATGTGCTCCACTTACAGTCTTTAGCTGTTTATGTACAAAATCAACTACTTCTTGACTTGACATGCAATCCCTGTAATATCAAAAATTGGTCAATAACAATAATATAATAAGCAGAGTAGACAGCACAAATGAAGTTCACCAATTAAATCTAAAATCAAAATGCTGATGCCAAAATTATCTCTGGCAGCATGGATACTTGTAGCGAAATTATCAGTTTTCCAACCAAAAGACAAGGGATCTGCTTGGGCGTGTTCGGCTGAACTACACAGCTGCTGCGGCTGCGGGCTGTGGCTGCAAACAGTCTCAGCAGGGAAGTGTACCACAGCATGCCTTATGCACACAAACTGCAGAGGGGGGGTCCAATATCACCCTGTTAAATGCACAATATTTCCCAGATTGCAGCTTTATTTGACATGCGCTTTGTATCAATCTATCTAGCTAGCTAATGTAGGCAAAATAAATAAGCATTCCACAATTAGAATTTCATTAATTGTATACGATATGGATACAGCATACTTATGTCCATGAACAGTCAGAAGTATGCTACAAATTGGCAGTTACATATCAGCAACTGCAAACCCTGGTGTGCGAGCTATTTCCAAGAGATTAGCACAAATCCAAATTAGATACGTGGCATCACAAAGACAGATTAGATACACAAGCTGTTTACTTATTTGATACAGTATCTGTATGACAACTGGCAGTGTTCTATTTTACTTAGTTACATATCAGCAACTGGTGCAAACCCTGTTTTGCGCAGTTACTCCCTCCGCCCTGAAATAGGGGATTTGAGTTGTCCTTACTTTGACCAAGTTTATATAGTAAACACTTCTCTGGTAACTTAAGATGACTCGGGACAGATGGGTGGCATCACAAATACAGATTAAATACACACATGCTGTTACTTATTTGAAACAGTATCTGTATAACAAGTTACTGTGTTCTATTTACTTAAGGTTCACAGCTGCTAATGCACTAGGCTTCGCTTCTGTCTAAATTCCAAAACTCAGTGGATCGGTTGAGCTGAATAACATTTTCAAGGTAATAGGTTCATGGTCAATAAGATGTTTTTGCCCAAAGAACATTATTGTGTAGTTAATAATGGTGTATTCAGGGTTTTCTACGGTCTATTGAATGGTAAACGTCCTAGGAATTGTTCCTGTAGCACTCCATACACAGCCATGGCAAAAGAGTGACTTCATTATCTTTTCCCCAGAGTTATAATACATGAAAACTGAGGAAGCCAATTGTGGCATCCTCTCTTCAAGGAGTCTGTCCCTCAAGCATATAGTTTGTTTATTCTAGTATGACGCAAAAAAAAAAAGAATGCAAACGTATACGGGTAGAAGAAAACAATTGAGTTATAACAAAGTTAAATTCAGTAGAGAAATACAAATCGTACCAAATTCCATCACAAGCTAAAACAATGAATTCATCATCCTCCGAGAGCTGGACCTGATCAGAAGCCAAAGCAACCCTTAGTTTTGTTCAAGATTTCAAGAAAAAAATACTGATAGAAAGGGACCACCAAAACCCACTATTTTCAATTCGGGTTCAGCTGTCACAATCTGCCTCTCGGCCGGCAGAAGTTCATTTTGCTTCAGTTCCATGTCACCTAGAGGAAAATAAATAAATAAGGCTGTGTGTAACAACACAACAATTTCCGCCTGAAGAAGAGTAAATACCTATTGCCCTAGATAAGTTCAAACTTGCATTGACCCGCCCGGCAACAATAAATCCGCCAGCACCCAAAATCCTCTCTTTCTCTTCCTCAAGATCTGGTTTGTGATCTGTTGACAAATTGTAAGCCTGCACAACAGATGAGTAAGCAAAACATATTGTGGTATTATGATTTATGTTTAGCAATAGAACTAAAACCATGTTTAGAAAATCTAAAGTACCTGACCCTTCCGTGAGATAACACACCGGGAATCCCCAGCATTTGCAACAATTAGCTGATCATTTCTTATGACAGCCACACAAGCTGTGCTTCCAGATGTTGGTCCAGGAAAATTCGAATTTGGACCCTGATATAGTAATTTCGTTAGAATAGATACACTCTGGGTTTACTTGAATTTAACCCGAAAAAATGAAAGAAAGAAACAATGGTACACAAAAGTAATACTCATTACTAAAACAACATTTCCATTTAATTATACAAAAGGACTTTGGATAGGGTACATGGAAATAATGGTACAAAAATGTTGTACACTATAGTTGCCAGTTGTCACCACCAATGGCCTAAGCTCATTAGCAGGGCTTATCTCGTTCCTGGGTTGCCCCAGCTCATTAGATGTGTTCAGCACTATAGCCAGCTGACCAGGTGGGAACCATATCTACTGATGTCTAACCTAGACCTAAGATGCAAGAACCTTCAGTAATGATTCAATTCGTTTTACCTTTATAGTTTAAGGATATCTAATATATCTATTAGAAGAGAGTAAACTAGGAAGTGATAGCTCTAAGCGTAGAGAAAGCTTTATACCCATGAAATGTGTATTCTAAAAACTATTTCAGAGCCCCACTCCAAAAAAAGGTAATGACTGGAATTTTCACGCACCAGAAAAGTAATGTTTCATGATGGAAAAGAGAACAGATGTTTACCTCCTCAGTATCCCAATCTTCCCCTATCTTGTCTGAATCACCACCCTTGGGAGGCCATATTATGCCCTCTAGCATACCTGAGATCTTGTTTCCCTTGTCTCCCAGCTCAGTTAGTTCTCTCCAACCCCTCTGGCCTTTCATCATCTCATCCATTCTGAAAGATCCAAATGTCATTAAGATTCAACCAACAAAAAAGTGTTTCAATTTTACAAAACTGACTTCATTCAATAACGAGAAGCAAGAAACTCACCTTAAGAAAGCTTTATGGACAGAAGCTGGCAAATCACCGGATGAATTTGCATCATTTATAAGCACTTGTTTATGCAAATGCCTCGCACAGAATTTCGATACGCCTTTTCCTGAAGTAAAAATGGGGTAGCATGTCATTCTACCAGAGAAGAACAGTTACTCATATGAAGCATAGCTAGACAACAATTCCAAAAAAAAGGCACATGTGTCCATTGACAAGTGATATTTACAGTGCTTACTCAGCTAGAGCAACTCACTAGATACTTTGATTCATTATTGCCACACTAGGAGCTTAGTATTTTTTTGGACAACTATATTTCAGAATAACACCCAAATCAATGCTAGTTGTTAACCAATCCATTTGATATTATTCAAACAGTTAATATTGCCCATTAGCATTTTGCAATATTAAATATTGAATAAAACCATCGGTTGCTCAGTGCTCACCAATGAACTTCATTGGCAATACAAGTTTCTTCTGTCAGGGACCAATGCTTTGACAAAGAGGTAAGATGCTAGGTGAGCAGAAACACTAGCACACAATCACCAATCAGGCAGGCTAGGCAGCAACTAAGAAGCATCTAGGCAGGCAATTTCAGAAACAGCATGTGTGCAATAGTCCCCTCCCCTCATTAATTTTCATTGCATGTCTCAACGAACCAAATGGAGCATTCCTTTGTGAGACTTCAAACAAGACAAATGACTATCTTATAGTAAGTGCTTCCAAGAAGCATGCACATAACACTTCTCCGCCAGGCATTGATGCCTACATTCATTACTGGTTGATTACATATGCATTGTTGCTAATGACATAAGCACACGCAAAAGAAGATCAGCACACCTCATGGCCCACAGTAATGTTGTTGTAGTATCTTACCACCCATGCATCTAACACATGGAAGCAATACTTAATTTAGCACCTTCAATCATACATAGATTTTAAGCATCAATATCTAACTATTAATCAGATCAGGTGAGAGAACATAGATGATGTGAATCCAACAAACACACTCCTCGGTAAGCTCAAAACAATGTAGATTCACCCAATGGTCAGTACAGACTAACACAATATCATAACCTGAATAGGAAACAATCACGACTTACCACCATGGCCATCATAAACACCAAAAAAGGATGTGCAGTCATCAAGGTCTGGCAACGCAGCATGCTGCAACACAATGCACAAGAGATCAGTTTTTAAAGCAGACTAGACATGCTAATGATCCATTCAAAGTGATGTAAACAAGCTGGCGTGTGCCAGCTTTCGTCATAAATCATCTGAGAATCAATCCATCAGAACTAGTAGTGAGCTCCCAATGCGAATGGGACAGACCGCTCGAGCTTTTTGCTTATAATAGGGAGGGACACCATTGGTCGATCAAATCACGACATGGTTTATTCTACGTTGATCATAGGAGACAACAAATTGCCCACTTGGTTCATCATGCAAATCTACACATAATAACAGGATCGCGCCTCAGACACTACGCAGCCGCAAATTCGCACAGGCACAGACGCATCTCGCCCCCAAATCACCCCCAACGCAATCGTGCCAGCATGGAACGGAACAGCAATCGCGGAGGCAATCCCATTCCAACCCAATCGGAAGCCGCGAGGGAAGCGGAAGCAACTCACCGCGTCCTCCATGGTGGTCCGCCACCCCTGCATGGAGGAGAGGCCGAACCGGAGGCGTCTGTTCTCTCCATCGGCGGAGAGCTTGTCCGTCTTGGGCGTGCTGAGGTACACCCCCATCTGCTCCTCCCGCCCGCCCGGCCCGGGCAGCAACCCTGCACCGCAGCAAAATCACACGGTCCCGTCGTCAGCGTGCGCACAAACCCAACACCCATTTCCACGGCAACGCCGCGAGATTGATCCGCGGACCCTCCGAACCGAACCGCCCGGATTGCCACCTCGCGTGGGGAGAACCCGGCGCGGCGTGGCAGCGATTCGGAGGGGAGAGGGGCGCGATTGGGTGAGGAGGTGGCAGCGACTTACGAGGGTGACGAGGAAGACGAAGCGTCGGCGGTGGCGCGACCGCGGGGCGACGAAAGAGACGGTCGAGGTGGGGTGGGTCGCGTATTTGTAGGCGGTGGGGGGCGCCGGAGTGGGGGAGATGCGGTTGGGTCTGCGGTGGGGGCGGCCGCCCGCGGAGAGAGAGAGAGAGAGAGAGAGAGGCGGAACGGGGTCGGGGTGTAGGAGATACGGGGAAGATTGCGTATCTAGTTTTTCTGTTCACCGCCAGCTCCCTTGTCTCCCTGCTCCCTCCCTCCTTCCTCCCGTAGTACCGTCGGAAAAAGTCTACTTAATCTCTCACCTTACCTTGTCTACTTCATCTTCCAACTATAAAACCATCTGTTTTACCCCCTAAACTTTCTAAAACTATCTATTTTACTCTCTCGGAACTGTCGGAAAAAGTCTACTTAATCTCTCACCTTACCTTGTCTACTTCATCTTCCAACTATAAAACCATCTGTTTTACCCCCTAAACTTTCTAAAACTATCTATTTTACTCTCTCGGACGGTTTTTGACATCGGGTTGCTACAGTAACGGCGGGGTCGCTACCATACCGGTGGGTTTGAATTTTCCTTTTTTTATTTATTTTCGATGAATTTTTTAAAAATCATAAAAAAATCATAAAATAAAAAATCTAATTTTATTAGACTCCACATGAGTAGATCTACACAGTGAATATATAATACGGTATGCTTTAGTACAAAATTTTTTACTGTAGCCTTAGATTAATTGAAAAATCTAATTTTATCTGTAATTAACTTTACTGTAGCCTTAGATTAATTTTTAATATAACAAACCCACTGTTACTGTAGCAACCCGCTGTCAAAAACACCCGGAGGTAAAATATACGGTTTTGGAAAGTTCAGATGGTAAAACAGACGATTTCATAGTTGGGAGGTGAAGTAGACCAAGTATAAAAATTGATGATTAAATAGACTTTTTCTTAGTCCCGTCCCACACTAGCATTCCTCCACCAAAGGCCAGGGCCATATGGGCCGATGATCTCTCGATCTCCTGGTCAAATTTCCAGAATCCAGAGGATGATTTTGAGATGCATGACAGCATGAGCGCTTTTGCTGGCATGATGTACCCTTTTCTTTTACAGGAATGCTATATAACACATATATAGTTTAGCAAAAAAACACATAAATTTTTTAAACAAAAAACACACGGCAAGAGCACGCGGCAGCGTAGCACCAAGCAGTCTTGACGCGACACCAGCGAAGGCGCGCTCGCACCAAAGATGCGACACGACACCAAAGAAGGCGCTTTACGCACCAAAGATGCGGCACCAAGCAAGTGACACCAGCAGTGTGACACGACCACCCATGACGAACGGGTAGGCAATGGAATCGACCGCACTGTAATTTGTCCTTCCATAGAAAAAAATTTGTTTTCTGTGATATGTGATCTATGATATGTGGATTTGTGATCTTGTGATTGTCTGAAGGTAGAATAAGGCTAGAGGTGGAAGAACGATGGAGGTTGTTGGATCTTAATCTTATAGTGCAAAAAAAATTCATGTGTTGGAATTGCATAAAATACATGGTCGTCTATTAAACAGACTCTTTCTTTTATTCATAGTCGTATGCATGAATTTTCTTTCCAGATATGAGTATATCACTCAATTTCCGACGATCCCATTAGTATCCCTTGATTGTTCATCAGTTTAGTGCTCTTGCGACTGCGTGTGTTTCCTTCGGCTAGCGACTAGTACCGTCCATTTCATTGGCATTGTTTCAAATTTCACTGCCAACTCCTTGTAACCGCCTCAGTTTTCTAACCCTCGTGCCACCGCGCAAATGTAATGCAACGTGTTGTTGCTTAGCTAGTTAGGCTTTTTAGTGGAACTTTATCCATAGGAGTGGTGCTTATATTTTTTCTATTTTATTTCACAAATTGATGATTACATGTACCACGAGTACCCTCGTTACCTCGATAAGACGACCATAGTCGCAGCGAGTCCATCCCATCACTCAGCACGACTAAGGACTCGGACGTGTTTGGTTCCTCGATAGATCAAAGCAATGGAACTTGGGCCATTAGGTCCACCTACCAGCCAGGACGTACTTGACTGGCGTTCGGCTGTGAACCGTCTAAGTGGACACCCGACCCTGATAGAGTTGGGGACACCCGAATTAGGGGGTGGCTCCTCTAGGGCTTACACAAAGAGAACCCACGTGAACTCAGCTAAGATTTCTTCGATCAAAAGGGTTAAAACCCATCGTAGAATACTATCCTCCAGACGCAATGTGCACAGACGCAAACATGGGGGCCATGCACATCACGAGCAAGGCGCATCACACCTAGAACATTTGTGCCCGTATATCGTAAGGGAAATAGACATGCCTTACATGCCACTATGAGGACACTGCCTCCATGACCCAATGACGGTTGCTAGCCATGTGGAGACAATCGATGCATGTTCTCCACTCAATTACAAGACACTACAATACGCAACAGGGATGTAACCGATAACGACGCTAGCAACCGGGGCCCTACCAAGACTTGCGGGTATGTAGAGCCCCCTCTTTCTTTTTTTAACCCGATCTCCCACGTCTTTGTGCGAGGAGACGTGATTCTCTCTTGCGCAACGAGACACCGTACACTTTCACACTCCTCGTTTGTAATGCCTACCACAGACTCCGAGCATTTTACCACGAACTTCGAGCGTTTGAGCTCAGGAACACAAATTTGCACACAAAACTGGACATAGGCGGTCGCCTGAACCAGAATGATCCCCGGGTACTCGAGTGCTAAGCCACCAAACTAAATAGATAAGAGACAAATTTAATAGCTGGTGCTACGAAACGTCAATCGTTACTATCTTAGTAATAGGTGACATAACTGTTGGCATTTCTTAGCGCAATCGCTAAGTATGAAGATGGAATCCATTTCTGATAACGGCACTAAAAATGTCTGTTGATATTTCTTAGCACCATCACTAAGATTTGGATAAATCTTAGTAACGCTGCCAAGGAACACCAATGCGATAGTTCTTAACGATTACAGAAAATATCCGTAAGCGCACAGATCTATCGTTGTAGCATTTCACCCGGAAGTATTCAATGTATCGTTATTTATATTTTCTCAAAGGAAGGCAAGGTGTAAGAGTCTAGCATGGATATAAACAAGATTACATACTTGCATAGTAAATCAATAGTCTATGACAGGGGTAAAAATGGTATTTCAAGGATAGTGGACACACATCTGGACAAACCTCAAGAATAAAAGGAAAATAAAGAATAAAATAATGTTCCTAGGTAGAGCAGGCACGTTCTAATATAGCCGTACAAAAAACAGTTGATTATCATACAAATTACATGGTTAGAGCTCGACCTAAGTGTAAGCTGAACGGGGAGATCTTCGGGCACCGGTCTGTCATCAAGCCAGGGAGACTTTAAGACTCTTACACAATACCCGAACGTGGAGATTACAAGAGATGGACAGGGCTATCACCACCTATCGCCTACCCCTCAATCAGGGAGTACAGTCGTATCCAAAGGTTCCCGTACACCCGGGCACCGCGTCTGTGTACAAAGAAACTACCCATATCCCCTCGGGACTCCGACCCTACAGATCAACGAGCATGGGACATAGGAAAATCCGAAGGAACGACGAACCGTCATCTCAACATAGCTCTACCTCTATCATATAAATTATATGAATGATTAAGCGTTAAGTTCTACTCTCTCTGTCTTACAAAGCTGGACGTTATAGGATTCATCACGTAAATCAATGCTGAGTTTAAAAGTCCTGCATACCCCTATGCGAATAGGTGGCGTTTGGTTGCATGTATCAAAACGTACATGAACTGGAACATCCTGGATGACTGCATGGGGCCCACCCGTCCCAATGTTTGGTTGCTGAACTGCACAGATCTATCCAGAACCGAACTGTTCAGATGCATCGAATATTCTCCACACATGCTATACAACCTCGTGCGCAGAGAAACATCGACCGACACCGTCCAGGCGGAACGAATCGCGCTCGCTCACATCTCGCCTCCCTCCGGGTCCCTTCCTCGGTGACTCGATTGCCTCCCTCCCCGTCCGACAGTTCCGTCATGGCACTTGGAAAGGCTGTTTGATTGGGTCGTCAGTTTCACCCTGCTGCTCCCTGTCAATGTTGTCGTGTGTGTGTGTCTATATATAATGTTTGTATTTTGTGGACATTGAGGATGGAGGACAGGCAGCTTAGACGGAAAAAAAAATATACTCATCAATGCTGCTATATATCTGGCTGCTTGTACTACGTCGTATGATGGTTTTCTTTATTCGGTCCAGCGTAATGTGATTGTAATATGAACCTTTTGAATATAATGTAGATCAGTTGTGACTTGTCTTGCTTAATTGCATTATATTATTATCATAATAGTAAAATTTATGCAAACATGTCTTTCCAATGTAAAATTCTTGGACTAACTCATACCATTCCATACAACCATCCAAAAAAAATAATATTTCATCCTATATAAGTAACCAAACAATTAATCTGTACCATCTCATACAGATTGATCTCATCCATACTCCACGTATCTAAAATGATGCATCCCACCTATCTTCGTTCGTCCAACCAAACACTACCATGAAGATTCAGATTGACAACAGGCTCCGGTCCCGATGCCCAGTGCTGTGCACCACCGGAGCACCACCTGCCTCTGATTCTTTTCCCTTTTTATATTCATCTGCTGGTGACTTTGAGAGTACAGAGCAGACACGGGTTGACTGATGGGATG